TGGTTGAAATACAATTTGTATTGATCACAAAGATGGGCAAACATTTAGAGACGGGCGTGCCAAGCACTTTGACGTTTTATCATAGTTAACGAAAAGAAGAAGAAGAATGAAAAATAGAAAAATCGAGAGAATTGAAAAAGATCCAAATGAGGGTTGACAAACCAATGTCGTCACGAATCTTTGGATCAAAATTCAATCTATATATTAATCATCAATTAAAAAAGTTGTTTCTTGACTTAGCACTAGTCAATTAATTAAATACAACAGAAATACGTACTACAAAATTTTTTAAGAGCGTAGATAATGTATTAGCTTACACGACCTGTTTGACTTCATAATAAACTAGTGCGTGGTGATTAAGCTTTTTATAATTTATAAAGTCGTTGGCTTTAGAAATGTCGGTAACGCTGGTGTTTTGTGTTGTCAAATGAATGTATTAATGTTTCTTATTACTAAGATCAGTATATTTAGATAATATTCTCAAAATGTAATGTGTTCTTTTATTCATCGTAGGTGGTTTAGTATTTATACACCTTGATATTTTCTATTCTAGATAACAATATATCTTGAGAATATGAATATATCGTAACCTAATAATTTCCAATCAAAATTTTGTATTACTCCTTTATCAGAACAAAAAAGTTTGTATTACTCATTATCCTCTATATATTAATTGAGAAGATATTATGTGAAAAATTTCAGGTGTCACTCAAATAAGATTTTAAGAAACACCTAATAAAAATTATTAAATTTTTTAATAACATAGACCATTATGCAAATAAATAAAAGAGCACAACTATATTTTAGGCCAATTACCCACCGAATTTATATCATATATATAATACATAATCATCAAACCAATATGGAAACAACGAATATATGGTAATTAATATGAARGATTTTATTTAAAGAATTCTCTATATATTAATATGAGAGTTTTAAAGGACACATCAATTAAATTAATCAATTAAAATATTTCAGTTAAGTTTATATGTCATGTTGAAAATCTCTACATATTTACATTAATTTTTTAACATGAACTCACAAATACATTTGTTACAAATTTAAATCCAAGTAAAATGTGACATTTCAATATTTTAAAATGTTATATAAGATAATTTTTTAACGACAAATCATTTACGGATATCAATTAATTTATAAAAAATTGTGTTAATGTCCATTTTGATACCATATGTGATTGATCATACAATTTTCTTCTTTTATATTGCTTAATTGTATCCATATTACTCTAATTAAAGTTGTGAATTTGTTATAAACGTACAACTTTACAAATTCAAAAAATCACCATTTTCATTTTTTATTATTTCTTTGATTTTTTTTATTTGAAAAGATTTTTACAATTAACTTGATACTTTTTTAGTTTTGGTAAATTCAAATAAGTTTGAAAAAACCGATAATCTCAAACATATTCTATTTACATAAAAAAAATGCTTGTATTTTATATAAGTGTCATGCAAATTAAATTTTGTAAGATAAAATATATTTATCTACATGGAAGATATACCATTTGTTCTTTGTTATTTTTAATTTCTCCCGCATATTATAAAAATCATGAATTTTTCTTCTCGAATATTTTAATTTCGCATTTGACGTGGAACAAAAATCTGATATATTTACAAATGTCGACAAAAGACGATTGCAACAATTTAAAGTTTTTATTTTTGTCAACTGATTTTATTGTAGAAAATCTGGTATCAATAACCAAAAATAAAACGATAACTAGCCATTTAACCAAAAGTTTCTTATGTGAGAGAATCATAGCCATTTTTTTTTGTCGGCAAAGAATCATAGCCATTTAATCTAGGACTTTTGA